TCAGGGGCAACTAGCATGGACACGAGGTGGGGCAAAGCAGCAGCAAAGCACTGGAACTCCTCCTGTCTGTCCTCAAGGACGTCCGTGCCAAGAGCACACTCACCCCCGACGGACGGAGGACAGACAGACTCAGACTCAGACTCAGCAACAAGGCTAGTGGCGTAGTCTAGACGACACCGGGCAGCAAAGTCTATCAACTCAGCGACCAGAGCAGACAAAACAGAGGACTCAAAGGTAGGGTCAGTGACAACAGTAGCGAGGAGACGGGTGACAGTGGGACTGGCAGCACGACGGGAGTCAGACTCCGGATCAGGAAGAGTAGGCAGAGAGGACGTAGGAGGAGACGGCAGCGGGACACGCTGAGGAGCAGTGGAGGGACGCAGAGTCATGTAGTGAGTGCCAGGGACAGGAGGAGGACGCTCACGTGGGACACGACGACCAGTGCGAGCAGTACGAACAGGCGACGTAGGACGAGACGCAGGCTCACGACGCTCTGCAAGACCTCCTGTGGGACCAGTGTAAGGAGAGGGACCAGGAAGAGGCGAGGCAGGCGGTAACTGTGACTGCGACTGGACAGGCGGAGGACACTCTACGGAGGGAGGAGGACGAGGAGGAGGAGCCTGACCAAGAACCTGCTGAAGGAGCGGTACGAAGTAAGGTCGTGGCCGCGTAGCATCCCCAGAAGCAGCAGAGACACCAGCGCCAGGGTCCTCAGCACCAGCAGCAGCTCCACCGCCCGGGTCCTCAGTACCAGCAGCAGCTCCACCGCTCGGGTCCGCAGTACCAGCAGCAGCTCCACCAGCCGGGTCCTCAGCACCAGCAGGAACTCCACCAGCCGGGTCCTCAGCACCAGCAGCAGCTCCAACGTCCGGGTCCTCAGCACTAGCAGTAGCGCCACCGCTCGGGTCCTCAGCACCAGTGGCCGCGCCACCGCGCGGGTCCTCAGCACCAGCAGCAGCTCCACCAGTCGGGTCCGCAGCACCAGCAGCAGCTCCAACGTCCGGGTCCGCAGCACCAGGAGCACCACTCCGAAGACTGCAGCGCCTCGTGTACCACTCTCGGATCTGCTGGAGGGGGGGGAGCTCCCGGGCAGGAGGGGAAGCACCGCGACCAGCTCCAGCCGTACCTCTCCGGAGGCGGCAGTACTGTAGGTACCGCTCCTGCAGCCGCTGTGAGGAGAGGGCTCCTCCAGGTGTAGTACCCCCAGACTCAGCACCCCCAGGCTCCGCACCCGCAGACTCAGCACCGTCAGGCTCACTACCCCCAGGCTCCGCACCTCCAGACTCAGCACTCCCAGGCTCAGCACCCCCAGCAGGACGAGAGTCAACAGCTACCTCGACAGGCTCACCCAGGTCTACCTGGGACACACCTGAGGGAGCGGCACCCTGAGGGGGGAGGGGGTCTGGTACCTCAGCACCTGGAGCCAGGAAGAGAGGCGGGGGGGGGAGTGGGGCAGTGCGGTAGGGGAAGAGGCGGTAGTAGGGGACGGACTCGTCAAAAGTGACGTCCTGAGAGGCCAGGACACGACGCGAGGTGGCGTGGTAGAACTGCCAACCAGGCGCGTCCGGGACAAAGCCAAGGAAGACACAGGGGACAGCGCGACGGGAGAGCTTGTCCGCGGACGTGTCGCGAACAAAAGCTCGGGATCCCCAGACCCGAAAACGCGACGCATCGCCAGCCTCTCCCGTCCAACGCAGTGTCGGAGAAGTCTCCGGTAAGGAGACACGGGGCCAGAGGTTGAGCTGATGCGCAGCGTATCGGACTGCAAACGGCCACAGAAAGTGGGGGGCAGCCGCATGAACCAAGGAGGTACGAGCGACCTCCATGACCAAGCCAATGCGGCGCTCAGCAACCCCATTCTGCTGTGGAGAGGCCGGAAGCGTGAACGACTGCTCAATGCCCTCCTGCTGACAGAAGGCCTCCAAGACTCCAGAGGAAAACTCCCCACCTCTGTCAGAGTGCAGACGCAGGACAGGGAAGTCGGAGCGGAAACGCTCACTGAGCTGGAGACGAGATCTGCGGATCCAAGGGATCAAGACATCAGGGACGTCACCCTTGGTGCGTAAGGGGAAGACCGTGGTGTAGCGCGAGAAGTCGTCAACAACAATCAGGAAGTACCTCTCCTGACCCTGACCACGGACGCGGGCTGGGCCCCACACGTCCATGTGGAGCGTCTGCAAGGGAGCAGTCGTCGGGGAAAAGGAGGAGGAGTGAGGAGCGGCGCGCTGCCGCCCCTCGACACAGGGAATACAGGGAGGAGCAGGCGAGGGTGGGAGGGGAGGGAGAACCCTGGGAAGACCAGCAACAAGGTCCCGTTTGTGCATGGCCCGAAGGCGCTGCACAGACGGGTGACCAAGGCGGTGGTGCCAGAGGACAGTCTCATGCGCCAGAGAGCGACACGAGCAGGGGGCGGACAGCTGACCTGACGCAGACGCAGACACGGACGCAGCTACCTGAGGGGACTCAGTGGTCAGTGTGTACAGGTCCGACCCCGGCTGCCGAGTGAAGGTAGCCAGGTGACGGCCCGTCCAAGCACACGTGCAGTGTGTCACGCGCTCGTATGCAGGGGTGAACTGGTGAACACCCCCGTCCTGGAGCGCACGACCTGCCACCAAGTTCGTAGAGAACGAGGGGAGGTAGAGACCTGACAGTGTGCCTGACGGGACCGCAGGACAAGGAAGGACAGTGGAGGAGGTCGCAATGACCGGACCCCCAGAGGGGTCAGCGAGGGAGACAGCAACTGGCCGAGCGAGTGGCTCAAGGACAGTGCGGTCACGAAAGAAACAGCGAGAAGCACCAGAGTCCAGTGTGAAGGTGTGAAGTCCAGCAGTCGACTCAGTACCAGGGGGGACGGACTCACGAGCACCTAGAGCAGCAGCCTCACCAGGACCTGGGGCAGCAGACTCACTAGCACCTAGAGCGGCAGCCGGACTGGTCAGAATGCCCGGGTCGGGCGGAACACGCAAGTACTGAGCACCCTCTCCACTAGTAAACATCGCATACATGGCAGTGAGAATAGCATCAAAGTCTAAGGCCCAGATATCAACTCCCTTCCTCTCCAGATCACCCCAGCGGGGAAGCTCAGCGCCGCCAGGGAACTGAGCGCGCCAAGCGTCGGTAAGGCGCGAGAAACAGCGGTGCGTGGGGTGCGGCCTCCCACACGTCTGGCCAGTGCGGTCACCAGTGCGGATGACGTACGTGCAGGTAAAGCCACCCGCCCCCCCCCCCCGCTGCGAGTACCACTCACGTGCCTCCTGGAGCGACGGGGCGTGCTGCTGGCTCTGGCCACCGCCAGCGCCTCCACGACCACCACCGCCGCCGTCACCGCCTCGGCCACCTCCACCCCTGCCGCCGCCACGACCACCTCCGCCTCCGCTGCCGCCTCCGCCCCTGCCACTGCTCCCGCCGCTGCTGTCACCACCCCCACTGCCGCCACTAGCCTCTCCAGTCCCACCTCCACCCCCACCGCCACCACCCCCGCCACCACCTCCACCCTTGCCCCCCTTGCTCCTGCGGCGCCCGCTCGGAGCAGACGCGGTCCCGACCTTCTCAGCACCAAGGAGGTCGACAGCAGCAGCAGAGGCGACAGAGGGGAGAAGGGGGGAAGGGGAACACCCCTCAAAGAAGGGGGTGCGGGGCTCGCCACGAGAGGCACCTACGGCGACGATGCTCGCCTCAGCTGCAAGTAGGTCCTTCTCGAGGAGGGCAATGGTGAGCTCAGTAGGGGAGCGAGCTAGAAAGGAATCCCTGACTGCGCGCAGAGAGTCAGGGAGGCGGGTAACAATGTGGTAGAGAGTGAGCCAGAGCGGGGGGGGGTTGGTAGCAAGGAACTCGGCAGGCATAGCAGCGCGAAAGCGGGCCTCACTAGTCTTGAGGTGGGTGATGAGGTCAGCAACAGTGTGAAAGGAGGCCAGATCGGGGAACAGGTAGGGCAGTGAGAGGCGGCCTAGTGTAGCAGAGGCCGGTGAGGAGTAACGAGCAACTACGGCTGTGTACAGTTCCTTAGCAGTCTTGCACTGGCCGAAGTGCTCGCGCTCGTCTAGCGGCAGGGAGTTGCGAATAGCGAAGCGAGCGTGCGCGTCACGAGTCTGCCACTGGGAGCGCAGAGTGCTGTCAGCAGAAGTGTCAGGGGCAGTAGCATGGCCTAGGGCGTGGTCGTACAGTGAGATATCCTCCTTGGCAGTGAGCTGTAGAAAAAGGTGGAGGTCATCGAGCCAGGTTTCGAACTTCACTGGACGGCCCTCGGCATCGAAAGCGAGTACGGTAGGACTAGCCATAGTGACAGTAGTAACAAGGCCGCTTGAAAGGTGTGGGCAGGGTCAACGGGGCCGGTGGGGCCACTAGGAGAGGCGCGGGCGGGGTTGACGGTCGGTAATGGCGCACGGGCGGCAGTAGTAGGGAGCGCGGCAGCAGGAGCTGCAGCGGCGGCGCACGGGCGGCAGCAGCGCGCGGGCTTAGAGCAGAGGCAGCGGCGCGCGGGCAGCGGCAGCAGCAGTGGCGCACGGGCGCACAGGCGGCAGCTGGCGACGGGCGGCAGCAGCAGCGGGCGCCACAGCAGGAGCTGCAGTGGCGCGCGACCGAACGGCAGCGGCAGCGGCGCACGGGCGGTAGCGGCAGCGGCAGCGGCGCGCGGGCGCGGAGCAGGTGACGGGCGGCTGCAGCAGCGGGCGCGTCAGCGAGCGCGGCAGCGAGCGCACAGGCGCGCGGGCAGCGGCGCACAGGCAGCGCGCGAGCAGCTTGCGGGCAGCGCGCGGGGCCGCGCGCGAAGAAACGGCCGCGCGCGGGCGGCTAGCGGGTCGCGCGCGAAAAAATCGACCGCGCGCGGGCGGCCAGCGGGTCGCGCGCGTTAAAAAAAAAGACGAGCCGCGCGCGGGTGGCTGGCGGGCTGCGCGCGCGCGGTAGGTAGAAGGCGCACGAGGGCGCGTAGGCGCACGAGGGCGCACGGTAGGTAGGTAGGTAGGTAGGTAGGTAGGTAGGTAACGGTGGGCCCTAAAACGATCCTAGTGATGGACCTGCTCTGAAACCATGTCAGAATGAACGGACAGGAATGGTTGAACTAACAGTGAAATCAGTACAAGTACCTAACCCTAGAATTGTGTACCCCCTATAGGCTAACCCACTGTAGCCTAAACAAACACAACATATATAATGTTTGACACATATCAGCTTCTGCAACCCAACTGTCCTCAGTGGGGTCATATCCCTTCCAGCGTATCAGGAACTCGAGGGTCTTGCCGCCGCGGCGCCGATGAGAGAGGATGCGCTCAATCTCGTACTCGGGTTCATCCTGCACAAGAACAGGTGGTGGTGGCGGTAGCTGCCGTCCCTGGAACTGTTGGTTGGGGTCCTTGTAGGGCTTCAGTAGCTGAACATGGAAAGCGTTGTGAAGCTTCCACGTATCTAGTAAGCGCAAGCGGAATGTAACTGGTGTCACCTGTGCCTCCACGAGAAATGGACCACAGAAGCGAGGCCGGAGTTTGGATGGGAGGTGAGACAGGTTCAAGTTGCGCGTGTCAAGAAGCACCTGATTTCCGACTGCTACTGAGTGATCTCGTCGTTGGCGATCGGCATACTGCTTCTGGGAGTTCTGCATCGTGGTGAGACGCCGCTGAGTCTTCTCCCATAGCTGCTGCATGGTGGTGACGAAGTCGTGTGCGGCTTGGACGTATGCCGGTGTGGTTGGCTGCTGTGGTGTGAGTGGTTCCCGTCCGTAACACAGGAAGAAAGGAGTTTTTCCTGTGGCCGCATGCGAGGCGTTGTTGTAGGCGAACTCTAAGGTCGGTGTCTGTGTGTCCCAGTGGCTGATGTCGTCTTTGCAAGCTGTGCGCAGTAACTGTCGCTCTGTCTGTCCGTCAGTCTGGGGATGGTATGCTGAAGACATCGCAAGCTTAGTCCCCAACAGTCCCATAAGCTCCTTCCAGAACTTACTCGTGAATTTTGGGTCTCTGTCTGAGATGAGTGTAGCGGGGATGCCGTGGATGGTGATGATGCGGTCGAAGAAGAGTCGAGCAGTTGCTTCAGCTGTAGCTGTGGCGTTGGTCGGTATAAAGTGACCCATTTTGGAGAACTTGTCGATGACTACGAGGATGGAATCGTGTCCCCGTGAGGTCGAGGGAAGTCCCGTGATGAAGTCGAGGCTAACGACCTGCCATGGCTGCTCCGGTATGGGTAGAGGCTGAAGTAACCCTGCTTTCTTCTGCTTACTACTCTTCATCCGCTGGCACGTGTCGCAGGAGGTGACGAACTGCTGCACGTCTGCTGCCATCCGAGGCCAGTAGTAATACTTCGCTATTCCCGCTAACGTCTTGTTGCTCCCGAAATGTCCCGCGTATGGTACGTCATGAAACTCCTCCAATAGGATCTGCCGTAGCGGGGCGTAATTCGGTACCCAAATCTTTCCTGAACCCTTCCTTACCGCTAAGTCTTTCTCCCACTGTAACAGCTTCTGTTTCTCTGCCGTTGCTATCTCGCCGTCCACGGAGTACCCATGTTGGAATAGACCCTTGAGCAGAGGGTTCACCCCGTCGAGCAAGATGCCTGCTACATGACCTGGGCGGCTCAACGCGTCAGCCTTGTTGTGGAGCCCGGGTTTGTAGACGATGTCGTAGTGGAAGTGGGTCTCCAAGAAATCCACCCACCGCACCTGTCGTCGTGAGAGCGTTGGCTGCGACTTCAGGTACTTAAGACTGCAGTGGTCAGTGTATACTGTGGTCTTGGCTCCCTCTAGGTAACACCTCCACGCCTTGAAGGCTACGACTATAGCTAAGGCTTCCTTGTCGTGAATGGGGTAGTTCAGTTCTGCTCCGTGTAACTTCTTACTGAGGTAGGCGATAGGCTGTAACCCGTTCCTGTGATCCTGCATCAGTACTGCTCCGACTGCCTGGTCACTAGCGTCTGCTTCAACTACGTAGTCCTTCTCGGGGTCCGGTAGGATGAGTACTGGCGCTGTGGTCAGTGCTGTCTGTAGCTGTTCCATGGCTTGCTGATGAGGAGTATCCCATTTGAAGGGCGTATCCTTTTTCAGTAGGTCGGTCAGTGGCGCGGCTATTTTAGCGTACTGTGGCATGAACCTGTTGTAGTAGTTGGCGAAGCCTAGGAATTGCTGCAACTCCTTCACGTTCTCCGGAACCTTCCACTTTTTAACAGCTTCGATTTTCCGCGGGTCCACGTGTACGCCCTTGGCACTCACCATGTGCCCGAGAAACTGCACTTTCTCCAGTGCGAAGTCGCTCTTTGACAGCTTCACGTAGAACTTATTCTTCCGCAGGATCTCGAACACTTTCCGCAGATGCTCCACGTGCTTCTTCATGTTCTTGGAGTAGATGAGAATGTCGTCCAGGTACACCACTACGCACTCGTCCAGCAGGGGCCGTAGGATATGGTTCATCTCTGCCTGGAACGTCGCTGGTGCGTTGCAGAGTCCGAACGGCATCACCAAGTATTCGTAGGAGCCGTATCTCGTACGGAACGCCGTCTTGTGGATCGAGTTGTCCGCCATCTTGATCTGCCAGTAACCCGACCGTAGGTCCAGCTTCGAGAAGACTGTTGCACCACGTAGTTGGTCCAGTAAGTCGTCGATGCGCGGTATGGGGTATTTGTTTTTTACTGTCTGTTTGTTCAGTGCGCGGTAGTCGATGCACATCAGTAAACTGCTGTCTGGTTTGGGTGTGAAGAGGACTGGTGGGCCGTAGTTAGAGGTAGATGGTTGGATCAGTTGTCTGTCCAGTAGATACTCGATCTGTTTCTTCATGTCTGTCAGTTCGGTCGGACTCAGTCTGTAAGGTGCACGTGAGACGGGTTTCGCACCTGGTTCTTCCACGATCTCGTGCTCGTGGGTGCGTGCAGGAGGTACGCCTGCAGGTAGGTCGTCGGGCATGATGTCTTTGTACTGCTCCAAGACCTCCTTCACTGCTGCGGGTAGCTCGGAACCCTTTTTCACCTCTTCTGCTGCAGCCATGACCAGTGCTAAGTAACCCGTGTTACTCTCGTTCACCGTCTGTTCGAACCGTGCCAGTGTCGTTTCAGGAATGTCCCCTGTATCCGTCCAGCTTCGTAGTGCTATCCGCTTCCCGTTGTTGTAGATGCACACCTTGTTGTTGAACCAATTGATCTCGGGGTTGAACCGCTTCAGGAAATCCCGCCCCAAGATGAAATCTAGCCCTTTGATGTTGGTGACAGGTAGCTTCGGCTTCCATCTCAACGCACCTATATGCAGCTGCAAGGATGCTTCGCCGTGGATGGGAAGCTTCGTGCCGTCCACCATGGTTGCTGAAAACTGGGTCTCCTCCGCCTTCTCTCCAATTTTCTCCAATGTCTCGCGGTCGCACACTGAGTGAGATGCACCGCTGTCCATCAGCGCCTCGAGGCGTCGCCCATTGCATAACACCTCGAGGAGTAGTGGTTTCTGCTGCGCTGAGTAGCCAAAGAGGGTCTCATTAATAGGATCATAGGGTACATCAAAATGAATCCCTTCCCTAGTTCCTATACCTGACTCATCACTTTCCAACTTCACCTGGCAGGTGGGAGGATTTTTCTGAGGCTTGTATAATTTCTCCTGAGCCTGGATGTCTCCTCTAAGCCTTTGCAGCTGTGTAGGCTTCACCTGTGGGCAACGGGGAGCCTTAACACTATGCTGCGGGGAGAGAATATTAACACCACGGAACGCACGACCCTTTTCTACGCTCCGTAATACTTTGCCCATCTTTGCAGGTACCTGAATATTGTCCAAAGGCTTTTTCTTGGCCTCTAAATCTCCCCTGAATTTTTCAAAGGCTTGAAAACCACGAGAAGCAATGTTTTTCGTTAGAGTATCTTTATAGGATACTTTTAACGAATTCTTACTTTCGTGGGGGTCCGGCTGGAGTTTCCCGGTCGGTGCAGAGTCTTTTTTCGCGGAGCCACCATTTGCCTCGGCGATTTCCCCTGATGCCGGCCGGTCGTGACGTTTTAGATTCGCGCCATCATTTTCTCCTTTTTTCACCCGCTCCGGAGTCGCCACGTCGTCGCTTTCCGGATCTATACGCGTTCGCCAGGTCGATCCGCGGCTACTGGCGATTGCCGTTTTTTTACTTCGGGGGTGCTCCACTGTTACCGTCCCGGAGTGCCGCACGTGCTTTCTTCATTTTGTAGCACGACAAGATTTGATGCCCTGCTGCGCCGCAAAATTCGCATTTTGCCGCCTGCTGCTTCGCGTCAAACTTGTCGATATCCATCGGTTCGGCGAACGTGGGGGGTGCCGATCGCTCCGTGCCGAATGTACGGTTCGGCCCGAAACGTCGTGTTTCGGGTTGACCTCGAGTCAGCGCGTCGTATCTCTCTGCTGCACGCACGATGTCCCTGTAGCTATCGTAGTTCGCCGCGATCACCTGCCGCCAAATCTCTAATTTTAACCCTTCCGTGTACGCCTGGATTTTTTCGCCTTCGGTCAGGTCGGGGATGCGGTTGAACAGGAGCTCCATCTGCTGCGTGTACTGTGCTACACTATTGTACTGTTTGTGCCGATAAATTTGTTGCCGCGCCATATAGGTGGTGTTAATCGGTTCGAAACGCTCGATTAATTCTGCCCAAAACAGCGTCCACGATTTCTCCCCGCGGGCCACGTCAGTGTTGTAGATCCACTCGAGTGCTGGTCCGCGTAACAGTGTCGCTGCGAGCCGGATTCGTGTTGCGTCGTGTGTCGGGGTCGAACAGCCAATGGCCTCGAAGTAAATTTCGAGGGTGGCCACGAATCGCCGGACGTCGGATCCCTTCGCGCTTGGATCGAACGCCTCCGGGAGCCTCGGTCGTGCTGCTTCGAGGTTCGGCGACAGTGGTGCCATCGGTCCGTGAAATGTCGGTGTCGCCACTGCTGCTGGAGTTGTCGGTGCTGCAGTCGTTGCGGTCGCTGCTGCTGCCGTGGCGAACCCTGGGTGGCTTGTCAGAAAAGCCTCGAGTCGACGAAGCGTCGCCTGCGTCTGCTCCATGTCGGTGCGGAGGCTCGCGATGTCGCTCGTAGTCGCGTAGTTGTCGCCCTGGCCTTCCATGCCTGACATTACGCGTCCGAAAAACCGAATCGAGGGGGAGCGAAAAACACGGAACCGGTTTTACGTACCCGAAATCAATGTTTAACTACGTCGCCCCCGCGGTTTTTTTGAAGACTGGGTTTTAGTAGTCGAAAAGAACTTCGCGTGTAAACGAGCTCTGATTACCAAGTGTGAGGATCGAGGATCGAGGATCGAGTTCAGAAATGAGAATGTAAATTGAATGATCACCTGGTACAACACGAGGCTATATATAGGCTCGACACAAGGGGCAGTAACCAGGTGTTACGCGAAGGTTCTGCGGGTCGCGAAGCGTCCCGAACAGACCCTTCTCGAATTCGGTAGAAAGCAGTTCGGTGGCAACCGAATAGCTCCGAATTCGGTGTAACCTAGCACGGTGCTTATAACTATAATAAAATATAGAAAAGCACCTAGCCTAGGAATCAAGCAATTCATGCATGCAGAAATTAAACCTAAGCTAGAAATAGCGTAAGGGAATAAAAGCAAGCATGAATAACAAGCATAAGCCGTCGTACTCTCACACTCCCCGTGGCAAGGAGGGGTGCACTCTCTTGGGCCTTGCCCATATTGCAATGGTTGGGGTTGCCAACCAATTAAACAACAAACAGCAAGGATAACAAATGCACACTTATAACAAACCTGCATTGTTGCGTTGGCACAATTGGATTTAGGTTGGCTGTTTTTTATTGGTTCTATTTCCAACCAGCGGCGGAAGTTCCGACGACTCACTTTGTGTGAGTATGCTTTGATTGGTTGAGCTAGGGTGATGTTTAAACTTACATGGGTTGTTTTCAAACCTATTGCGTAAGTTCCTGTCACAATTGCACAGCAGAGTTCTGATTGGCTAGTTTTCCAATCACTTCTACAAAAGTCTCGCTTTCCCTTCTATTTCCAACCAATCACCCTTCCCCCCATTTCCCCTCACATCTGGTTCGAAGTATCGAGACCAGGGGGGTTGGGTACGGATGTTACACTCCTCCCCCTCCAGCTGGCAACGTCCTCGTTGCCGTGGGGTGCTTCTTAGGACGAGTGCTGCGAGCACGACGAACCACATGAAGACCAGGGTCAACACCATCCGCTGGTTGTGGGAGTGCTCGCTGAGCCAGGTCTTCCATGTAAGACTGAACCGCAGTATCAGTCAAATGTTCTTCCGGCTCCCATGAGTTGTGTTCAGGCCCATAGCCTTTCCACTTAATGAGGAACTCTCGTACAGTCTTGCGGCCGCGTTGTCGATCACGATGCAAAAGCACTCGTTCGACTTCATAATATAGTTCCTCCCCTAGGACGATTGTTGGTGGTGGTAAGTACTTGCCTTCTGCAACATACTTGCTTAACAGAGACACATGGAAGACATTGTGAATCTGCATGCTATCAAGTAGTTTGAGCTTGTAAGCTACCGCACCAACTCGTTGAATCACCTCGAAGGGCCCAATCCAGCGAGGGAACAACTTTCTCGCACCAGGGATCTTAAGCCGAATATTCTTCGTGCTTAATAAAACTTTGTCTCCAATGGAGAATGATACTTCCCGGCGTTTCATGTCGGCATAGGATTTTTGCCTTTGTTGGGCTAATTGCAGCCAACGACGTGCCGACTTTAGGGCCTCTCGTTGCTTGCCCACAAAATCCTTTGCGGCAGGTAATTTCAAACTGCCGATACCATGCGTAACAGTGTTGTGGGATGCCGACCACAGTTCAGGATAAATGGTTTTTCATGTGTGCTATCATGCACTGAGTTGTTAACCGCAAACTCGACCATGGGTAACAACTCGTCCCAATTGTCCTGTGTTGGGCTTATGAAAGAACGAAGCATCTGCTCGAGAGTGCGGTTTGTCCGTTCCGTTTGCCCATCTGTCTAGGGATGGGACGCTGGCGACAACTTAAGCTTCGTTCCTAGTGTCTCGGTTACTTCATGCCAGAACCGGCTCGTGAAGCGCGGGTCACAATCTGACACTAATACACGTGGCAATCCGTGTAGGCGGAACACATGTGTCACGAACAACCGAGCTGAATCCTCTGTTGATATGTCCGTTGTCGTGGATACAAAGTGCACCTTTGTTATAAGGTGATCTACAAACATGAGTATCGCCGTATACCCATCGCGGGTTTTTAGGAGGTCGGTGGTGAAATCCAATGAAACGCTTTCCCAAGGTTTATTCGGAATTTCAAGTGGTTGAAGCAAACCACCAGGCTTTTGTGTGTCCGGTTTGTTACGTGCGCACGTGTCACAACGTGCCACAAACTGTTGGACATCACTACCGACTCCAGGCCACCAATATACTTTGCGTAAGGCCCACCGGGTCTTATGTCAAACATTATATATGTTGTGTTTGTTTAGGCTACAGTGGGTTAGCCTATAAGGGGTACACAATTCTAGGGTTAGGTACTTGTACTGATTTCACTGTTAGTTCAACCATTCCTGTCCGTTCATTCTGACATGGTTTCAGAGCAGGTCCGTCACTAGGACCGTTGTAGGGCCCACCGTTACCTGCCTACCTACCTACCTACGCGCCCTCGTGCGCCTTCTACCTACCGCGCGCGCGCAGCCCGCCAGCCACCCACGCGCGGCTCGTCTTTTTTTTTTTTAGCGCGCGCGACCCGCTAGCCGCCCGCGCGCGGTCGATTTTTCGCGCGCGACCCGCTAGCCGCCCGCGCGCGGCCTTTTCTTCACGCGCGGCCCCGCGCACTGCCCGCAAGCTGCTCGCGCGCTGCCTGTGCGCCGCTGCCCGCGCGCCTGTGCGCTCGCTGCCGCGCTCGCTGACGCGCCCGCTGCTGCAGCCGCCCGTCACCTGCTCCGCGGTCGCGCGCCGCTGCAGCTCCTGCTGTCGCGCCCGCTGCTGCTGCCGCCCGTCGCCAGCTGCCGCAAGTGCGCCCGTGCGCCACTGCTGCTGCCGCTGCCCGCGCGCCGCTGCCTCTACTCTAAGCCCGCGCGGTGCTGCCGCCCGTGCGCCGCTGCAGCTCCTGCTGCCGCGCTCCCTACTACTGCCGCCCGTGCGCCATTACCGACCGTCAACCCCGCCCGCGCCTCTCCTAGCGGCCCCGCCGGCCGGTCGATTCCGCCTGCGTCCCACCTAGTAGCCCCGCCGGACCTATCGACCCCGCCCGCCCTCCGCATAGAGGCCCCGCCGGCCCCGTTGACCCTGCGCACACCTTTCAAGCGGCCTTGTTACTACTGCTACTACTGCTACCACTACTGTTTCTACTACTACTGCTACTGTCACTATGGCTAGTCCTACCGTACTCGCTTTCGATGCCGAGGGCCGTCCAGTGAAGTTCGAAACCTGGCTAGATGACCTGCACCTTTTCCTACAGCTCACTGCCAAGGAGGATATCTCACTGTACGACCACGCCCTAGGCCATGCTACTGCCCCTGACACTTCTGCTGACAGCACTCTGCGCTCCCAGTGGCAGACTCGTGACGCGCACGCTCGCTTCGCTATTCGCAACTCCCTACCGCTAGACGAGCGCGAGCACTTCGGCCAGTGCAAGACTGCTAAGGAACTGTACACAGCCGTAGTTGCTCGTTACTCCTCACCGGCCTCTGCTACACTAGGCCGCCTCTCACTGCCCTACCTGTTCCCCGATCTGGCCTCCTTTCACACTGTTGCTGACCTCATCACCCACCTCAAGACTAGTGAGGCCCGCTTTCGCGCTGCTATGCCTGCCGAGTTCCTTGCTACCAACCCCCCCCCTCTGGCTCACTCTCTACCACATTGTTACCCGCCTCCCTGACTCTCTGCGCGCAGTCAGGGATTCCTTTCTAGCTCGCTCCCCTACTGAGCTCACCATTGCCCTCCTCGAGAAGGACCTACTTGCAGCTGAGGCGAGCATCGTCGCCGTAGGTGCCTCTCGTGGCGAGCCCCGCACCCCCTTCTTTGAGGGGTGTTCCCCTTCCCCCCTTCTCCCCTCTGTCGCCTCTGCTGCTGCTGTCGACCTCCTTGGTGCTGAGAAGGTCGGGACCGCGTCTGCTCCGAGCGGGCGCCGCAGGAGCAAGGGGGGCAAGGGTGGAGGTGGTGGCGGGGGTGGTGGCGGTGGGGGTGGAGGTGGGACTGGAGAGGCTAGTGGCGGCAGTGGGGGTGGTGACAGCAGCGGCGGGAGCAGTGGCAGGGGCGGAGGCGGCAGCGGAGGCGGAGGTGGTCGTGGCGGCGGCAGGGGTGGAGGTGGCCGAGGCGGTGACGGCGGCGGTGGTGGTCGTGGAGGCGCTGGCGGTGGCCAGAGCCAACAGCACGCCCCGTCGCTCCAGGAGGCACGTGAGTGGTACTCGCAGCGGGGGGGGGCGGGTGGCTTTACCTGCACGTACGTCATCCGCACTGGTGACCGCACTGGCCAGACGTGTGGGAGGCCGCACCCCACGCACCGCTGTTTCTCGCGCCTTACCGACGCTTGGCGCGCTCAGTTCCCTGGCGGCGCTGAGCTTCCCCGCTGGGGTGATCTGGAGAGGAAGGGAGTTGATATCTGGGCCTTAGACTTTGATGCTATTCTCACTGCCATGTATGCGATGTTTACTAGTGGAGAGGGTGCTCAGTACTTGCGTGTTCCGCCCGACCCGGGCATTCTGACCAGTCCGGCTGCCGCTCTAGGTGCTAGTGAGTCTGCTGCCCCAGGTCCTGGTGAGGCTGCTGCTCTAGGTGCTCGTGAGTCCGTCCCCCCTGGTACTGAGTCGACTGCAGCACTTCACACCTTCACACTGGACTCTGGTGCTTCTCGCTGTTTCTTTCGTGACCGCACTGTCCTTGAGCCACTCGCTCGGCCAGTTGCTGTCTCCCTCGCTGACCCCTCTGGGGGTCCGGTCATTGCGACCTCCTCCACTGTCCTTCCTTGTCCTGCGGTCCCGTCAGGCACACTGTCAGGTCTCTACCTCCCCTCGTTCTCTACGAACTTGGTGGTAGGTAGTGCGCTCCAGGACGGGGGTGTTCACCAGTTCACCCCTGCATACGAGCGCGTGACACACTGCACGTGTGCTCGGACGGGCCGCCACCTGGCTACCTTCACTC